TACAGAAGGCTCGACTAGCTTTTGCCAACTTGCGTCATTTATGGCGTAGGCGAGATATCCGTCTATCAACCAAATGACGTGTTTACTGTGCAACAGTTCGTTCCGTCCTACTTTATGGCATTAAAACATGCCCGATAAGAGTAGTGGATATTCGTAGGTTACTAGTATCTGACCATAGGTGTCTTCGAAACATTGCTCGTGTATCCTGCGACCATCGAGTAAGTAATGCAGTTGTTAGAAAACGGGTACTAGGTAAGGATGGCAAATCAATTGACGAAGTAGTGAAACTTAATCAATTGAGATGGCTGGGAAATGTGTTACGTATGCACAATCACCGACTGCCTCGATGTGCGATGTTTTGTTGTATAGGAGTAGATTGGAAGAAAGCTAGGGGCGGCCAGAACAAAACATGGCACAAATGCATGAAGTCACTGACAAGTGGACTGAGTCATGTTGGTAGGTGTAGACTACCTGGTTGGGGATCGCGAGATGATAGCAACCGATGGTTAGAGACCTTGAATGACATGGCTCAAAATCGTTTGCAATGGCGCAGGTGCATCCACTCTCTGTGTTCTCTCAAATTCTAATCTTCTGAATTCCTCATGTCCCTTTTTTCCTCTTTCCAAATTTATTTCACTGGATTATACTCTTTAAATAACATCTCCAAACCCTAATCTTCCCGATTACTGCTTATACTCTTATTACCTCTACCACTACGGGATTTGAATCGACAACTGCATCTCTGTGCTTATGTGGTGTGGCAACTCGAACTGATTTACGTACGTACGAAGTTCTACGTTGTTACTGACTGACTGACTGATTTGAGGAATGATTATTCGGTTTTGATTAATAACATTATGCCTACATCACGACAGGAAAACGTTTCTGTCGAATCTCCAGATAAGTTAAGCGTGGAAAACGTTACATTTCATTAGTGAATGACCAAGTTCATTATGCTGATTCCAGATATAAAGTACTCATCACTGATACGAAATTCAGGAAATAAAAGATGGTTTTTTACTTTAACATGAAACTCTAAGGGAAAGCTCCCCAGCATGTCGCTTGTAATGTTCCTGTACATCTAGACCAAAACTATGAAGCATATCTTTTCTTCTGATCTTATAACGATCAAACGAAATAGAACATAGTTAAGGAATAGTAGGAGATACATGTGTATTTGTTTGCTCTGTTGATTCTGGACGCTATTATAACTTCGAGTTCTTTGTGTATCGTCTTATCGACTTAATCTCAATGTGATCCAACAACACACACTAATACAAGTACTTATCAAGTTGTACACTGTTGGAAAACAATTATCATTAGCGGCAGATCGAATATGGTATCACAAAACTATCTCAAAGGTAAATCAGTAATCTGAAAAGTTTTATTTATTTGTTTAAGCATATAAACATTGGTACAAGAAGGCACTAGATATATATGCATCACATTTCATTCGATTTGTGTAAGGACTAGAATACTGCAGCGTAGAACCTGTCATTTACTATATGCTTCGCTTCTAGTCCTCAGATCGCATCAGCATACCGAAATGTCGGAGTAGTATGATAACAGTATTAGGTTAAGGGAATATGATTCGAGAATAGTGAATTCACAAAGCACAGTGTATAAGATGATTTTAAAATTTCAAGACCAAAGAGAACACCAGGAATGAATCCAACTAAATCATTGTGAACGTTTATGCGATGTGCTGTCGCTCCAATTCTCCAACCATTGGTCAATATAATCGTGCAGATCTCAATCAGATAACCTGTCCATAGCAATACGGCTCAGTGTAACGATCAATGACAGCATGGACTGATCTCATGACTTGTATTAATCGCTTTCTCTCAACTTAATCCTACACTAAAATTATATGTCGACATTGTCACTTATTCTTAATTCATTTCAATCAAAGTATATCCAATATTATTCTCACCTAAGTATCCTGTATTAGCTTAGAGTTCTTCAACTCGAACTATCCATCATCTCAAAACTACCATTACCACTAATACACAATACAATACAATCAATATCAATAATTATAATCAAGGAAAGTCAATTATTGTATATTCAATTTATTGAGACTCCTACAAATAAACTCAATTGGATAAATCAAGAAGAAACAATTATCATGTGTAATGAGAAATGAGAACAGAGTTAGTGAGTGAGTGACTGAGTGAGTAAGAATGATAAATTGGTTCTTTTTTCTTTATAAAAAGAAAGAGAAAACAAAACTGATAGATGATTACGGGGTGCAGCAAAGAAGACGATCAGTAATTTCTCGTCTCGTGTATATATATAAGTATATGTGTGTATGTGTTGGCCTCTGTTACGCATACATACACACACACATATACACATATATGTTACTATGATGGCTACCAATTGTTGAATATTAATATTAGTACTTCTATATAAAAAAAGATTACGTCATTTCAAATTAGGTGAATTGAATATAGGGGGAAGGGGGAGGAGAATAGATGAAACAAGGAACAAACTATCAGTAACAATAATACCAATATATATGAACAACAACAACAACAACAAAAACAACAACTGGAAATAGGCAAAGAAAAACAATCAATGAATCAATGAATCAATCAATCAGAGCAGTGTTCGAAACTATTGATCTAATTCTTTAAAAGAAAAAAAAAGGCGGGAACAGAATTTTATTTGTTTGAGTTACATAACAAATACACTATATATGTAATATTGAAGTTTATCATGGAAATGAAGAAAGAAAGAAAGAAAGAAAAAAATTCCACACATTTGTGAAAGTAAAGGAGAAAAGACAAAATATCTAAATCACATACACGCGCGCACACACACACACACATACTATAAAGATCTAGTTTTATAGGGGGGAATCTAAACATAAAAAGGATGGATCTATCTTGGTGTGATGATTCTTGTTTTAAAGCATAACAACATAGAAAATAGATTAAATATGATGGGATGAATCACAAATTAGACAAGTTTTTTTTTTACCATGAACACTAACTAGTTAGATTATTTGAATTTTAAAAAAAAAACGATATCACTATGGAATTAGAGTATGTTGGTTGGTCAAGACCAAATTGAATAGTCTGTAGTGTGTAATCATTGAAAAAGAGAAGCAGAAATAGAGAGACAGAGAGAGAGAGAAGGGAAACAATACAAAATAACAAAGGATGTTAGTAACAACAAGTTTATAGAATTATCTACTAATTAATGACTTCTATTTGTGTAATGTAGTAGTAATAGTAGTAGTAGTAGTAGTAGTAGTAGTAGTAGTAGTAGTAGTAGTATGACATTAATCAAATATATAATATGATCCTGTTTATTAGTATAAAAGATCACATATATATCACTATGTTAATTGTAATAATCATTAATATACTCTATTCATCATAAATGATAATAATTAGGTTTTGGATTGATTAGTATGAATGAACTGAATACACAATAAACATACATGTGTGTGTGTGTGCGTGTGAGTGAGTGAGTGAACAAGAGAGAAAGAGAGAGGGGACGTGTTCACAAACAATCAACATGGAATCTATTATCCATATTAAAACCAAAACACACCACAGTTTATGAGCATCAGATTACCACATATCTAAACATGCACACAAACACACACACACACGAACAAGTAGGAGAAGAGAGTCAATCATGCCAACAAAAAGGGAAAAACAACCGGCGAACAAATTGAAAAGAGTAAAAAGAAGAAAAAAGAAAAGAAAAATTAACCACAATCTTTCATAAATGTTCAATTAACAATGACAAATAATAATGATGATAATAATTAACAACAATTTACTTTCCCTTTTTTTCTCTCTCTTTTTCCTCAATCTAATTCACACGCTTTCCAAAAAAACACACCATTTTCTACAGAATCATAATTATTATTCATAGAACAAACAAAACAAACAAACAAACAAATCAATGTGAAATGTACAAAATCAACATGATCGATACAAGAAAAACAAACAACAACAGAGAAGGAGGGGGTTGGGAAACAATTTCCCATTGAACAAAATCGAGAGAGAGAGAGAGAGGGTGAAACAAAGTGAGTGACATAGAGAGGGCAAGTGACATGTGTGTGTGTGGGAGTGTATGGCGACGACTAGGCAAGAACAACTCTTCACTTCATTTTTCTTTTAGATAGATTTCGATGGGAAAAAAAAACTAACAAACAAACAAACAAAATAACACAATAATAAATGTATCTAAATATGATAATTGTCATTACTACTAAAATACTACATCATAATACACACCTATTACACTACTGATTATCACTAATTAATCTAGTAGTAAGTAGTGTTCATATTAGCAGTAATGACAATATTGATGATGACAGTCAAAATACAACAATATTATAAAGAATTCTCCTTGAAAAGAAAAACAACGAATAAATGAAATCACTGTAAGATAAGGCGCATTTCTCTCTAATAATCATATTACTGATTATGTAATATGTGTTGTGTTTAAATTCTACTTTACGAAACTTAGAGTAACGACGATCTCGACAATGATGATCAATAAAATGGTAATGATAAGAAGAGCAATACAAGGAAGAAGATGGTTTTCTCATTGACAAATTGATTGAACCATTTCAGAAAGAAAGTTAGAAACAAAGTAATATAATGAATGTTGTTTATTCAAATAAAAAGAAGAGAGCAATATGAAGTGAAAAAAAAGGAAATAGAATATGGGCAAACATCCTCATCATCAAGTGATTCACTAGAAAACAGCACAGATAATTATACACAAGCAAGTGCATAAGCACAAACACACACACACACACGTACATGAGTAATGTAAAACACAAAACTCCGTAATGTTTCATGTAATTTATATCAGGATTCCATAGTTTCAATACAGAAGATGCTAATATTTCCAAGAGGATATCATACGAGTGCGTGTGTGTATGTGTGAAAACAGTGCGATAGAAAGAAGTAGAGAATCAATTAATTGAAACTACAATATGACAAGAATGCATATATATATATATATATATATATATATATATATAATATTTATATTTACTCATATATAATAGAGGGGGAGGGGATTTACTATAACTACAACTAATAATATGTTTCTTTTTCAAGCCATGACCCAGGCGGTAACCGTCGAAGTAGGAATTTCCTCACTTCATCATAGACAAATATCAGAAAACTGAATGGTAGACCTGGAAGCCACCATGTAAATCTGGAAGAGAAAATTTTGTTTAAGAAAAAAAAATCATCAATATATACAAAGAGATGAACAATTGAACAAACATCAATTAATATACGTATAATATTCAGTCTTTCGAGTAGATACAAAGACTTACGTAATAAGATTATTATTTAAGGAAGTGACCACAGTAAAGACCCTCAAATATCGCGGGAAAAAAGAAACTGATCTTTAGGTTGGCATATCTATTTGCTATGCTGTCAACGATAGAGATTAAAGAACCGTTGGTATATTTATCCATCATTACACTAATATAACTTGACATGGTGAACAATGAGTGAAAGACTTATCAGTGTTCATCACACTAATGAATGTAAATGTACTGAAGTTGAACCAGTTCGACTGTTGTTTGTGACGTTGTTGTTGATGTTGTTCTAAATCCATCCTCATATTTGAATGAAGTTCGGCAAAATTATTGATAATAACAATGCAAATAATAAACGGAATAATTAACGCTTGGTTTGTATAAACAGCTGAATGTTAATGATCTTGGTGATGATAATATAAGTATGAGAAATTTGTGTAGATTGTAGAATTCTCAAAGTTTAAATCACGAACTGATTTTAACTAGACCATCATTGTAAACGTGAAAGTGCTGGAGGGCCGTCTGGCCCGTTTATGAGATTTCTGTTCAGTGTGCATCCACGATCCCTCGATCGGGAATCCAACTCACGAGCTTCGTTCTTGCGCATGAATGCTCAACATCTAGATTACTAGGCCAGTATATAGCGGTATTATTGTCTAACTTCAGACAATCCTTGATTTTGTGTAACCTTATTCATCGCCTGCTGTTTCACACTAGACATGACTGGACTCCAATGATCAAGGGATGACACTGAAGGTCTTGGGTTCGATCCCAGGATGCAGGGTTGTGAATGTACACTGAACAGAAATCTCATAGTAGGATGAAATAGCCGTTCAGCTCTTCCACGTTCCCAATGATGGTCTAGCTAAGATCAGTTCATCATTTAAATCTTAGAAACCATAAGATCGACAATAATGACTGACTGAACACTACTGATCATTTGAAGAACTGGAATTGTTTAGTTGTTGTATTAGTAAGATTTTATTTTTGTTAATATTCTCTAAATGTACATATTTGAAATAGTTTATAACTCAGAACTCAGTTTATTGATGGAATACTTGATACTGACTTCGTAGTCGCTTTCTAAATTCCAAGACTACTACTACTACTACTACTACTACTACTACTACTACTACTACTACTACTACTACTACTACTACTACTACTACTACTACTACTACTACTACTACACCCTACATTACAACTCCAAATAGAAGAGAGAAAAAAGAAGCATATAAAGAATAGAAACTTTACTTTAGTCTTCATTTAACTTACCTCATTGGCATCATACGTAGACCTTTGTCTAAGCCAGGACAATAAGATAAGAAAATAGCTAATGTTGTTTCAAAGAATAAACCAAATGTTAAATGATGATTCCACATTCCTTGTTGAAATATAGAATTACGACGTGTTTTACAAATCATTAAATCAGTCCATTGTACTATGACAATTGATGCAAAAAATGCTGTATGACATGTATACTCTAATCGTTTACGTTGATTATATGTCTATTTTAAAAAGAATAAATAATGAAGAAAAATTTTATACACATATAGGGATTTGTGAAGATTGTAGTAATGTCATAGTTGATCTAAACTAGATCAAATTCTAATCTTCTGAATTCTTCATGTCCCTTTTTTCCTCTTTCCAAATTTATTTCACTGGATTATACTCTATAAATAACATCTCCAAACCCTAATCTTCCCGATTACTGCTTATACTCTTATTACCTCTACCACTATGGGATTTGAATCGACAACTGCATCTCTGTGCTAATGTGGTGTGGCAACTCGAACTGATGTAAGTACGTACGAAGTTCTACGTTGTTACTGACTGACTGACTGACTAATGAAAATGGGAAAGCACTAGACGCTCATTTCTTTTTAGTATGGGGATGGATTCCATAGCGGTGTGCAGTGTACGATAAAATGACTATCCAGTGCTTCCAAGTATTCACTGGTGGTTTAGTTTAGATCAACTTGCAAAGTCAACTATGAAAATATTACAAACTCCATAATAATTATGTGCTCATTAGTGACCAGATGATTCAAGATGAAACTTATAAAGTTCTAGTGAGAAGCCGTGACCAATAGAATCCAATCATCATCAGAAAATGAATGAAGAATTGTGCAAGATCATGGATTCATTTTTATTAATTGATTATTCGAGTTAAAAAAGGTCATTTCGAATAAAATCACATAATATTGAATAAGGGAGAGGGCATACAAAACTCTTCTTCACAAACAAAAGAACAATTCATAGAATTACTTCTCTTTATGTATTACAAACAAGTCTTATTTGTTGGTTTCGGCTTTATTCAATATTGAGGGAGATGATTGTCCTTATAAGATTCAAACTGGCATTATGAAAGCTTCAAAATCTAAGTGAAGTCAGTCAGTTATTTACAACGTAGGACCAGGTACATATATGCATCGGTTTGAGTTGCCACACCTCATGTAATGAATCTAAGTGAAACATTACCACTGTAGTTATTCAAGCATCATTTGATAAAATTATTGAGAATTAACATGATTTCTCAAATGTTAAATAATTCAGGTTGTAGTCTTAAAAGTAATAAGTTATAATAAACAGAATGAATGCTAAAAGCTAAAAGTCAACTTAACGAACAACATGATAGCTTCAGTATAGGGTTATGGAGATTGTTGAGTTTTATTAAAATCATGAACGGACCAATGATAAAACACCACTGAAAACTTTAAAACACTGGAAGGTCGTTTCCTCCCAGTATGAGACTCCTCAGTAGTGCTGTTCCACATGTCTGCCAACACAGATTGAACCCAGGACTTCTAGACCGTTGAGTCACCATCCAAAGTGTTAAAGTCAAACTCAAGCCAATTCACGAAACCTTGCGACCATCTCCTGTTGTCTTCACTAAGTAACTGCTTCATACTAGACACGGTTAAAATCAACCTCCACAACTCTATACTGATTATGATCATTTGGTTACCATTTACTATTTTCAAGAGATAGATTTCGGAATTCTGCAGTCAATAAATATTGTGATATAGACCGTATTTGTCAATCTCTATGTGGTCAAAGTTTAACTGAATATGTGAAGTTAATACAAATAATAAGAAAAATCACAAACAATACGATCAGAACGCAACATCAAAATATAAGTCATAAATCGCTTAGATTTTCTTTGTAGTTTAATTAAGCTTTCTTGTTGTTTTTTTAGAAAAAAAAAGTAGAGAAAAACACAACCATTTACCCATTCTTGTCCATAAGAATCTGCTAAATCGTTAATAGCTTTGGAATCCCATTCACGTCGTATACCAAGTAGACGTGATGGCCAAAAACCATTTTCAGCCATAATAACAAAATAAACAAAGAAACCACCTGATGCTTGTATCATTCCAATTTGACCATAAGCCATTGAAATTAAACGTTCATTCACTAATTTATCATGTAATGGATCACGTGGCATACGTTTCATAATATCTGCCTCAGCCTCTTCATAAGCCAATGAAATTGCTGGAATCTATGAAAGAATAAAAGAAATAGAATACTGATAAGTGTTGAACATAAAATGGATAAAATATACCATTTATTTATCAATCACTCAGTTATGAGCAATGTAAAACTTAGCACACAATTATGTGAATCAGTTCAAGTAGTCACACCATATCAAAAATAGTGAAATGAAAATTATCCGGATAAATAACTTGGAAATAGGCTAAAAAATTCAAGAAACAATTCATTTGTGAAATAAAAAAGTTTGCGATTATGGCGTGACTATAATTTATGGACGAACCAATCAGATTTAAGATAACAGGTCTCGGATTTTGACGCGACATTCATTCATCCATCCATTTGTCTAAATAGAGTTTTGGCATTATAGCTGATGTCAGTTCGTTCTGAAAATCCTATATCTGATTCGTGACCCTAACTATCAACTGTAAATATTAATCCTAATTCCTCACACAGGTTTATAATCCTCATTTAGCCATAGTATGTAGTGGGACATTTTCAAAATCACTTTATCGTCGATCAAAGGTCGTCCATAAATGATAGTTTGATCGCGATTATTTTTTAAACTCAAGGTAAGACAAATGTTGAAAGCATTTGCATCATGACAACCGAATCTAAGTCGTTTTACTCAATATTTCCTATCACTGATCATGATAATTACATGGAATTACTTACCTACGCCTGTTACCTCCAATGGAGCATAGGCCGCCGACCAGCATTTTTCAACCCATACTGTCCTGGGCTTTCTTTTCTAATTCCATCCAATTCTTGTTCATTTTTCTCATGTCTATCTCCATTTCCCGGCGTAATGTGTTCTTTGATATTCCTCTTTTCCTTTGGCCTTGAGGACTCCAAGTGATGAGGGATTGCCTTGTGACGCAGTTGGGTGCTTTCCTCAATGTGTGTCCTATCCACTTCCAGCGCTTCTTCCTGATTTCTTCCTACACTGGGATCTGGTTTGTTCTCTTCCACAGTTGGTTGTTGCTAATAGTGTCCGGCTAACGGATTCGAAGTATTTTGCGTAGACAACTGTTAATAAACACCTGTATTTTCTGGATGATGGCTTTCGTAGTTCTCCAGGTTTCTGCTGCATACAGTAGAACTGTCTTGACTTTTGTATTGAAAATCCTGAACTTGGTGTTGGTTGACAGACAGTTGCTTTGAGTTGCAGATGTTCTTCAATTGTAAATATGCTGCTCTTGCCTTACCGATCCGCGCCTTCACATCCGCATCAGATCCACCATGTTCATCAATGATGCTGCCCAAATATGTGAAGGTTTTTACATCTTCCAAATCTTCTCCGTCAAGTGTGATTGGATTGGTGCATGCTGTGTTGTATCGGAGAATCCTGCTTTTTCGTTTGTGTATATTGAGACCTACTGCTGCTACACTGGTTGTCTTCTCCTGCATTTGTTGTTGCGTGTGCGATAGAAAAACCAAATCATCTGTGAAGTCTAGATCGTCCAACCGCATCCCAGATGTCCATTGTATCCCATGCTTCCCTTCAGTTGTTGATGTCTTCATGATCCAGTCGATCACCAGGAGAAAGAGAAAGGGTGAGAGTAAGCAACCTTGCCTAACACCGGTTTTTACCTCGAACGAGTCTGTCAATTGTCTTCCATGCACGATTTTGCAGTGTAATCCATCAAAGGAATTCCGTATGATATTGACTATCTTCTGAGGCACGCCGTAGTATCGAAGAAGCTTCCATAGTGTTGTTCTGTCCACGCTATCAAACGCCTTTTCGTAGTCAATGAAATTGATGTAGAGTGATGAATTCCATTCAATTGATTGTTCCACAATGATCCGTAGAGTTGTGATTTGGTTTGTACACGATCTATCCTTACGGAATCCTACCTATTGGTCTCGAAGTTGGGCGTCTACGGTGTGCTCCATTCTGTTTAACAATACCCTGTTGAAAACTTTCCCCGGTATTGAGAGAAGAGTTAATTACATGGACACCTAACCAAATAGTTTGTACCTACTCATAAAACTTGATTTAACAATCAATAAGTTTGTATTATAGTTAGTCGCTTTTTATCAAACTATCCTCATACACTAATAAGTATTATGATCAAGATTCATAAAAGATTCATTAAATCATCAATCTATTTGGTAATTTATCCGTGAAACCTTGAATATAACTTAACAGTATTGTTCACTCTATATAATCTGACATATTTATAATACAATATAATTTCATTATTCAATATGAAACACATGCAATGCATTCATTCTATTCATTATTGTTAATTGATTCTCAACTATAATCAAGTATGACAATAATACCAATCAAAAGTGTCTTATAAATGAAGTAAATTTCAACCTAGTTTATTTGTCTAGAAAATAAGATAAACAACAACATAAAGAAAGAAATAATCGTTGAAAGAAACAAAAACAAAAAAGAAAAAGAAAAAAGAACAATTTTCAACCATGGTAACACAAACATGTAATGATCATATAGGTGACAATGATATACATGATCAATAAACATAATCATGAATTTTGAACTAATGACCTGAAAAGTATTATGAACACAAACAACAACCACTATGATAATGATTTATAATGAGTGTTTTTTTTATCATGGTATTTTACTATTATGAATAATGATTAAAAGAAGAAGATAAATCGGTCATAGAAAAGTTTATGCCAAATAAACAAATAATTGTATACTCGAATACACGTCTTATTTAGTGATTGATTTATTTAAACATACAAATATTAATATCAGATCGGTCAACATGTGCTCACTAGTGACTGGATTCACGAAGTATATCCTGGAGTTCTAGTGAGAAGTAGTGACCAGTGGAGTTCAACCAGGTCTCTTGTAACTCACTGAAGACAATGGTGGATGTGTTGCTCAATTTCGTGGATTAGTTGAAGTTAGACATTAACACCGTTGGATGCCGGCCAGCTCAGTAATCTAGTGATTAAGTGCTCGCACGCGAAATCAGTAGGTCCTGGGTTCGAAACTCGCAGGGTGCGAGGTCGTGGATGCGCACTACTGAGGAGTTCCACAATATGACGAAACAGCCATCCAGTGCTTCCGGGTTTTCCATGATGGTCTAGCTTCAACTGACTCATGATCTTAACAATTGAAAATATAAATAATAATAATAAAAGGAGTCACCAAACAGATGAGTCATATAAATCATTCGATTTATGTGAGGGTTGAAATATTACCCGAGTGCCCAAACCGAAACAGGTGGTTTTCTAAGAGGGTCACACCCCGACTCTTCAACCTGAAAGTCTAATCCGAAAGACAGTGGAGCAACGTTAGGAGATGCAGTTCCATGGTAGCCAGTGATTAACGATTGGTTAATGTGCCATTTGTTTTTTTAGTATCCTGGAGCCCATATATAATCACTAACTTCTGGTCTGAGCCATGTTGCTAGATGCAGATTACTTGATTGGGGCCCGCGTGACTATCGTAACCAGTGGTTGGAGGCTCTGGGTGACATTGCTGAGAATCGATCGCAATGGCGTAGATGTATACACTCTCTGTCTTCCTTTAAACTATGAGATAAAAATCGCCTCGTATCTTTCTTTCTACAAACTGATTCTTTTTTCCTGTACTAAATCCTTATGCATACTCTTTCTTTTATACATTACTACCATTGAAATAACTAGTTCTGTAAATTTGGTGTTCATTTTGTTATGCTAATGATTCTGCTACTGATTCTTTCTTCCCGTACTATATCGTTATATGAATACTTCCTTTTATATATTCCTACCATTGAGTTAACTACTTCTATGAAATTGGTGTTTATCTTGTGCTATTGAGGTATGGCAATTTAGACTGATGCACGTATGTTCGTGGTCTTACGTTGTAGCTGACTGACTGGCTGAATATTGTCTAGAAAACAGTCAATCATAGGGACTATAATTGAGACAAGTTGATTGAATGTTTGTAGATAAATTAAATAGCTTAGTTATACTCTCAATAAACGATGATGATATTCACTGTCCTTCTGGACAGTGAACATATTGAATGTGAAGGAAAACAACATAATGTTATTCATTATTGATTCATGAAAAATTCTAATTTATTCAAGTTTCGTTTACTCTTTATCAGTATACTAGATAATATAAACATCAAATGATTGAAATACACTTAGAATAGAATAAATAAACAAGATATATTTAGTCAGTTATAATTAATATGTGGGACATCAAAAGTCATTATAGTACAACGATGAAATGAAATAACATAGTCGCGAAATAAAATGGATAGATTATGAAATTGAACAGACGAATAACCAATGTCCGGTGCTTTAAATCAAGACAGTGAATACGGAGGATCCACCTCCTAGGAAAGTTGGAAAACGTCAAATAACAAAATCCTAAGGAAACAAATGGCGTATGCGATGATGTGTATGTAATGATAAAAATTTGTCGACGATCGATATTTAAAACTTCAAGATCTTAAAGAAAGATAACAAATGGAATGTGAATCTACGTAGTAAGTAAAATGAAAAATTCAATGTAGGGAATAATTAATATTTTTCCGGTATTCAGATCGACGATAACAAGTAAACTTAAATGTATGTTATAATCATGTACATAGATGTACTAATTCACAATGGGAGATTTCCTGTTCACAACCTTCAACAATAAACAATAAACTCTTAACATTTCAAAGATAGAGAGTGTGTGTGAGAGTGTGAGAGTGAGAGAGAGAGAGCGCATGCGGAGAACATACACAATCATGATGACACTTGTTTTCATGATATCAAAGAATCAGTAAATCAAAAAAAAACTTTAATTCCTTCTATCATTATTAATGGTAATGCAAATTTTATCATAGTAAATTCATTTTGACAGTGAAATGCTACTTTTACATCAGGATATTGATTTAACATGTCAACAGATGGGATATGAATAAAATGGTAGAATAAAAATGTATCAAGATGTTAAACATGAGATTAGTGTAAGGAATGAACTAGAAAAAACAAAGTTTTTATAGTTCAATTGCACTAAATCTGAATAGAATGCTACTCACAAAATTGCTTATAAGTAGTATGTAGAGGGACGTCACATAGAGGTTGTTACAGTCAACAGTTGGAAAGAAAAGTTTCAGTCGGTTAAAAACCAAAGCGCATGCAAGATACTTTGAAGAGTAGAGGAGAAGGCAGTCTATAACCAACTTAGATTGCAGAATACACAACAAGATATAAGTAGATATCACCTCAACTACTTATCAGCACATACTGCTTGCTATAAATATAAGAGACGTCGAGTAACTAAGTACAGAGTAATTCGTTTATTTCGAACAAGAGGTATATATTTAAAGTGAGAGACTGATGAAACCGATTGGATCCAATCTGGACAGCAAATGTCAGATACATGTTCGGAAGGGCGAAATACTCTACACACTCAGGGAGTTGCTCTAATGCTGTCCAAAGTAGCACGAAATACACTTATAAGTTGTGAATCTCACGAATCCAGAATCATCAAAGCATTCTTCAAAAACAAAGAAGGAGGGAATTACGATGAATGTTATCTAAGGTTATGCACCCACTAATCATAGCAACGATGACAATAAGGACCAGTTCTATGAAAGGCTGCAATCAATCATAGAGAAGTGCCCAAGAAAGGACCTCACTATTCTGATGGGAGATCTAAACGTCATGTAGGAATGAACAACACCGGAAACGAAGAGATCATGCACTGGGAGAGAGAAACGAGAATAAGGAGGGATTTTTAAACCTATATGCATTCAACAGACTGATTAAAGGAGGCAAGATATTCCCACACAAACGTATACACAAAGCTATATGGTTATCATCGGACCACACTACAGAGAACCAGATAGATCATATTTGCATCACTATACATTTACAAGGTCAATGGAAGAGGTGAGAACCAGGAGAGGTGCTGACATAGCTCCAGATCATTACCTAATCGTGACCAAAATGAAACTGAAGCTAACGAAGCACTGAACGCGTGAAGAAACATCATTACAAAGGTTTAATACAGCCTTCGTTCGACATACTAAAAAATTCAAGATAACACTCAACAACAGGTTCCAAGAATTACTGGATCTACTGAAAGAAGAAACTATTCTCTCATATTAGGTAACAATTACATACTGTTATACTATTTAGTTTATTAAATCGATTACATAGAGTTGCCATGACATTAATATTTTCCATGGATATTAAAAAATAAGTTTATCTTGATGGTGGATAGAAATATGGTTACAACAATCAGTTGAGTGATATAAAAGACGATATCTTATAAAAGTGAGTAAACATTTAATTATTCTCCACATAAAGTATCTAAACAGGAAAGCATACTTGTTCATTTAAATAAACAAACATCCGATATATAATGCAGTACGCTTTAGTCACTTTAACCTGCACTGGACGGCCGTTTCGTCCTGGTATGGGACTCCTCAGTAGTGCGCATCCACGACCCCGCTTCAATTGACTCATGATTTCAACTTGTGAAATTTCTAAAAATCTCCACAAAACCCCCTTCTGATAATAATTACTATTATAATTATATATAATCAAAATATTCAATGAAATCCTATCATAAATTATTGTATATTAGTCTAAGAAAATCCAGCTAAATGGAATAATGTTGAATAGCTCTTTAAAGAAATACATTACACTTACCATATCAGTACCTAAATCAATACATAGAATTGTAATTGTACCCAACGGTAATGGAATATCAGCTAAAATATACACTAGAAATGGTGTAATCTCTGGTATATTCGATGTTAATGTATAAGCAATGGATTTTTTCAAATTGTCAAATATAATACGACCTTCTTCAACTCCTGTAACAATTGAAGCAAAATTATCATCTAATAAAATCATATCCGCTGCTTGTTTACTCACATCACTACCGGCTATACCCATTGCAACACCTTGTGTAATAAAAACAAGAAAATTAACAAATTATAATAAGGAGATAAAGAGTGAAGTAATTAATTAAACAAATTTATATTGTTATAATTGAGATCATGAACCGATCAATATTAGATCACCATTTAAAACCTGGAAGCATTGGACGGCCTTTTCGTCGCGAATGCACACTGTTGAGGAATCACATAGTAGGACGAAACAGTCATCCAGTGGTTCCAGGTTTTAAATGGTGGTTTAACAATGATCAATTTATGATCTTAATTAAAACTGAGCAATCACTGCAACCGTATACTGAGAATTTCTATTGGACTAACAGAGCAATAATAATACTAAAAATAATATGATGAAATGTTTACAAAGGGAACTGACTTTCACAATGATTACTTAGTATTTATACATAAGTGAATAGTCAAGTTGATCCAGATCTTAGAAATGATTACATTCAACAACATACTACAGCCTTCTTATCATGAAAGAAACTCTTTTGTTTGTCATCTGTAAAAAGTTTCTATCATATAAAATTCTTCAAAATGTCTGGCAACTCAACTAGTCATCATAAAATTAATCTCGGAAATCACGATAGGTTTTATGTGGAATACACCTTATCTAAGAGATCACTGACTGATATCAATGAAATGTAGACAAGTACACAAATGGATTCCACTAGGAAGATATCGAAATTCTAAATCGTAGGGATTCTAAAAATGCCAACTTTCAGAAAGTGTTGTATTCAGATCAATCAGTGTTCACTACGCACGTCACTTAAAACCCAACCTACTAATTCAAAGGTCAAAAAAACAGGACAGTGAACATGAACACAACGACTACTGAAGATAATGAAATCTTTGAGGATAACCAACTATAATCAAGACCACCTAGGTAAACTAACTTAAGACTCGTGGAATGACTTAAATGCTTAGATCTATATGAAGAGATCTCTGATGATGCTGTTCAGAACGACAATGAAAACTTCACAATTAAACATATAGCTCTCAGAACTCAACAACACCAAGAACACCCGCCTAGGCTAAAAATCTTCTCCATCATTTGAAAATTACACAATATTTATAATATCAATTTAGGCCATAGAAATATGGTGATGATGAAATAAAAAATATACAGAGAGAGATATCTATTAAAGTTGGTTAGTGTGGCTAGCAGCGAAATTCAAAAAGCAGGTTTCATCATATTTAAGACTTATCAGTTCGACGTACATGCATTCTAGTGTTGACGTACACACAGAGACTCGAACTGAGTCGTCTTCATTTCAAAAGCCTAACACGACTATATGAAGCTTTGTAGATACAAATAGATTGAAAATAAGTAGAAACTCGAAGAGCAGTGCTTAAGCGGTTACCACAATCAACGCTCAATAAGTCAGTTGAAGTGTAAAGTACTGGTGTTCGAATCTCAAAGTGAACTTCAGCTATGGGATGCAAGTACATACAGCAAAATAGTCTCAAATAGGAAGAAACGATGCGTGTCCTTATGATTATTACCACTATTATTATTGTTATTGAAAAGTGATATAATTTGTAGTTATTTTCGACAAACATGACAATTTGTCATGTTAGATATGAAAAAAATTGTTACATTCAAATCAAACCATATCTGTTGTCTAATTAACAACTTCAAGAAATCAATAAGGACTATTTCCTCAAAATGATTTCTGATACCGTTGATACTGTTACCACCTTTACTATCCTGGGATTAGGCCTAATAATTTTATCTCTATGTGTTCATGGGATATAACAACTACGACAGATGTACATACGTACCATGTTCTACGTTGTGATTCACTCTATAGTGATGGAAAATGAAATTTTCTTACGAATTGTTGTGAAGATTTGAAAAAAAATGTTGACTGGCCTATTTGATCGTTAACAAAAGAGAAGTTAACTATCAATCTCCAAATGGAACTAGTATACCATACATTCAAGCTAACGTCAGTAACACTTGGATAAACATTTTAAACATTCAACATTGAGAAGTCCTATACTAGAAAGTAATGTCCGTCAAGTACTTTAAGGTTTTAGATCGATTCATGAATTCAACTGTGAGTTCTAATTATCAATGACAGAGATTAAATGATATGATAGCAAGACATTTACCTAATCCACATCTAGATAATCTCAACTAACGACAACATTACTAATGAAAAAAAAACTATATATACACACATATACATACCAATATCAGCTTGTTTTAAAGCTGGACTATCATTTACACCATCACCGGTTACAGCAACAATTGCACCTTGTCGTTGACAACCTTCAACTATAATTAATTTTTGTTGTGGACTAGTACGTGCAAATACAATTTCTGAATGATTTAATAAAATTTCATCAATTTGTGCTGGAGTCATTTCACGTAAATCAGATCCATGTATTACACATGCTTGTGCATCACGTGGATTGACCTATAATAATAATAATAATAATAATGAAAAAAAAGCATTCATCATAAGAAGTAATTATGAACGTGGATTAGAAGAAGAAGAAAAAGTGATAATGAAGTATGAATCTAGACCACCATTGAAAACCTGGAAGCACTGGACGGCCGTTTCGTCCTAGTATGGGACTCCTCAGCAGTGCGCATCCACGATCCCGCACCACGCGGGGCTCGAACCCAGGACCTACTGGCTTCGCGCGCGATCACTTAACCATTAGACCACTGAGCCGGAATCCAACGGTGTTAATGTCTAACTTCAACCAATCCACGAAGTTGCGCCACCGTACACCATTGTCTTCAGTGAGTTCCTATCTCACAACAGACTCATGATTTCAATCTGTGAAATTTCTAAAATCTCCACAAAACCCATTCTGATAAGAAGTATGAATCGTTCAGTTGAAATAACTTGACCTATACATACATAAATTAACTTGTATATTGAACGAATTGTAAAAAGTGAAACAAAAAACAAAACAAAACAACCCAAGTGACTAATTTATATAAACAATGAGATAATCATCATGAATTGATCTTATTTATGGGAAGCACAGGAGAATTGTTACGTTCTTGTATGGAACTGATTCTCAGCTGTGTATATTTTTAAACTTTGTCAGTAATCGAATTCAAAACTATCAGGTTTTGGCAACGGTGGTTTAACCAATTTTTGGAAAGGTGGTAAGTGAATAATGCTGTATCCAAGAGTACCTAATCGTTTTCATTGGTAACCCAGTTAAAATCAAGCTGTGATGAACACCCTCTACAGATTAAAATAATCTCTATAAAAAAACTGTCTCATTTAAATTATGTACTTAACAAATTTTCGAATAAGTGAACAACATACATATAGAGGCTCCGTATAATTCACTAACTCAATAGTTCCGACAGAGAACCATTGCCTGGACGGAATAAATTTCAAGCCAGGTTAATAGTATTAGCAATGAAAGGGTGATTTTTGAGTAGTATATTAGATTGTTGATAATTAATTTACTGCTTAAAATACCATTTTTACTCAGTGGTTGAATAGATTTTGTAGTCAATGGAATATATTCTTCTGTGTGAGACTCAAGATGGAGAATGCTGGTCGGCGGCATATGCTCCATTGGGAGTAACAGGCGTAAGTAAGTAGGTAAGAGGCTCGGGATGTCCACAAATTGATAAGAACGAATTATCTATTCATTACTGAATGATTTTCAAACGTTCTCTAGTAGACGAACAAAACAAATTGTCTTTTGCAATCCTGCGATGTTAACAAATAAACAATTCATGCAGAAAAGATTGAAATTCATAGACAGACATTCAAAGAATGAATAGCAATTGGTAACAACTGGAAAGGAGAGTCTAGGACAGAGTTTGGTGGAAAATCTTGGTGAGCGGCCTATTCTCCACGAGGGATAACAGGCATAAATGGTGTGAGAGAGACGAATGACCACGCTAAAAAAAAACTATTCATGTTGTATACAAACAATTGATTATTTAATCTAAATTTTAGTGGTTTGAATAATTCTATTGATGACATTTCGACTGAAATTTGATCAGTTTAGGTTGGCATATGTACATTTCTGTGCATATTGCTTGGGTATAACCGTTTTATCACAAATTTTATTGAACAGATGGATTGTGGCTAGTGATGGAATCCAGAATTCTTGTTCCGCACTATTTAGGACTCGTCAGATAGATATACCTACATCAACACTGTGGTGTAGGTATATCCAACCGAAGTCTCAAATAGGACGAAACATGAGCTCCAGATTCCACTGCTGACCACTATCCATCAATTTTATATATTAATTATCTATTGGTTATTTTAAAAGACAAGAATTTTTCTTATCAATATTACCTGACGAACTGGAATACCTCGTTCAGCGGCAATATCTTCGACAGTTTTAGAACTTTCCGAAATTATCCCCACACCTTTAGCAATAGCTTTCGCTGTGATTGGATGATCACCAGTGACCATGATTACTTTAATACCAGCTGAACGACATTTAGCCACTGCATCTGGTACTGCAGCACGAGGTGGATCAATCATAGACATTAAACCAACAAAACGTAAATTAGTTAAAGGAAAATTCGGTTCATCTACATTGAAAGCATAACCTCTGAAAAGGTAAATAACAGAACGATAAGATATATTAAGATAGTAATGAGGACAACAATTAACAGAACTAATAGTGTCTATAGAAAACCATATGAATATTGGGTATGATTAACAAGTTTATCATTCAGTAAGTACTTAAAAAACCAAATTAACTTCAGTAAAACAAGATAAATAGTAGAGAAACATTTTGCTGTATATCAGAATTTATGGGAGAGAATTATTTTACTTATAGAAGAAAGAAAATATATCTTGTTTTGAATGGAACAAAGATGATAATTGTGTTTTGGAAATTGAATTCGATCGATTGGTCAGTTAGTTATTATCAATGTAGAGCCTAATATATATGTCCGTTATCTAGAGTTCCAAAATTATGAAATTTCGAAACGAGGTTGAAATCGTGATAGTGTGATGTGTGTTACTGATGTTGACAAATAATAAGTAATATCGAAATGCCTGGCGGCAGAAGGTTGAGAAAATCGAAGAGAAGAGAACGAGAACGGAGAGTATGTGATTTGGAAATGAAGGAACGATCAAGTATAAGACAGTTGATTGACATTTTACAAATGAAGTATTTGCTGTATGGCTCTCAGATTTTACTAAGAAATTCTGTAATTTTGTATTAAAATACACTTAGTTGTCCTCACTGATTAAGTATAATTCAGCCAACCAAGTAGTTTGCGTATATCTAAACGGCTCAAGTGAACAATCAATGATTTGTTCTAGTTTGGTCATCCTTAGCTTTCTTCCAGTCGACCATTACCTCAGCCAACACATTGGATATTCATGTAGGTGGTGCGTAAGCAATATATATATCCTAAATACTTTGGTTAAATGATTTACGTTCAATCTCAACATTTCTTACCCAGATGCAATGCTCAAAATATACGTATGATCAAAAACATGTAGTCTACGCAAGGACGATATTTCCCAGCCTTGAGTTATACAGAGAGGACTGATTCACAGCATACTCACCGTTCAGTGTTTGAAACGCAAACACCGTAAAATATACATTTCCTGTCTAACTTTATTCCCTAATTATTCCACAGAAGTTTTCAGTACTATTCCAAACCAGCCTTGATATATTTTCAAGTGTAAGATATCATCGAAATAAACAAATAATCTTATTTAGATCACTAAAGAAAAGCTGGAAGCACTGGATGACCGTTTTGTCTTGCTATGGGAATCCTCAGAAGCGCGTGTTCACGACATTGCATCTTGGGCACTGTCCAGTGCTTTCACGTTTTCTACAGTGACATGAATAAGATCTGTTCATGATTTATATTCTATGAAAATTCTATAATCTCCAAAAAACCCTATATTGATTTTTTAAAAAATCCACAATAAATATTTAACATTTTACTTCTTATAAGTATCCGATGGTAGACGATAATCACAAAATCCTAGAACTCTTTCACCCATTCCACCAAGTTCTAAATAAGCACTATTGAAATTTTCACGCATTGCTTCATCCATAACTTCTTCTTTACCATTAATTAAAATAGTTCCACAACGATCAAGTATACGTTCAGGTGCACCTTTCATAACTAATAAGTAACGATCATCACTATCATTGGTTTCATGAATCGATAACTAAATAGAGAAAATAATCAAAAAAAGTGAAGTTAATTTTGAATAACTTAAATCACAGATTAGTAAAAACTAGACAGATATTAAAGTACTGGATGGCTATTTCGTTCTATCTAGTAAGGGATTCCTCAACAGTGCGAACCCACAAGCCTACAACCAGGAATCAGATTCAATCCTCTGCCTGTACGAATTCTCAAAGGTTCTTCTCTAACTGAACCGCGTTTACGCACCAAAAACACCCATGAATTCACTTGTTTACCTAGGAAATGTGATTTATACGTCCTTAGCTTGAATTGGGAATGGCTATGTGGTGTTGAGAAGTTATGATAGGCGAGAATTGACTAGGAATTAGAGACCCAAAACAATCGGATCTCACAGAATCTACCTACTCATTATTATTATTAAGGTTGGATCTAACAGCTTATGTGTTTAACCTAAATTAACCCCTAATATTACATAATTACCTTTCGATAAGATTAGCGGGCAACTAACTGCCTTTCAGTCAACATGACTGGACTTCACTGGTCACTGTTTCACAAGAGAACACTGAGAATCAATTCACAAAATTGTTTAACTAAGATCAGTATATGGTCCAAACTATGAAACTCAAGTCTGTACAAGCTTCCCATAGTAATAATTTAGAATACGCAAAATAAACAGAAATTTACAAGCCATATTTACGTTGAAATGTTATGTTATACATAGTACGTAGAGTAACGTGAATAGTAAAGCAGCAACGTATACATCAGTCTCTCTCTCATTTTTACCATACTGTATGTAGCGGAAGTCTACAACAAGCCCTTCTAAAAAAACATGATCTATAGTAACTTGTAAGTGAGTTACAGCACGGTGATTTACTTGTTGCTAGATTTAAATGACAATGTTTTCAACAAGTGATTGATTACCAAGTAGTGACCGATGTCATGTTTATCTAATATTTGAGTGCTAATCAAACTCTATCAATCACTAATACAAGTGATTTGACTAAGTTGAAATGTTATACATTGGAGATTTTAAGAATCTTAGGCTAAGGAGATGGATGACGAGGGTTCAGATCCAACAGAAAGCGTCAATTCTCTCAAGATTCTACGTAAACCTTACTGATGGAATGCCAACTAGCAAGAAAACTAGATCTATTGATTTCTGCATAACACCTAAAATGAGTGAATTACGTTTTCTACCGTCATATAGTAGGGACAATACAATAAAATTGCTAATTAACAAAATTTAATTGAATGCTATTTTGATGAAGATGAACCCGAAAACCAATTAATCAATAAGTTAACAGACTATACCTGATATTTATTTGTAGAATTGAATGGAATTTCAGCAACTTTTGGATTTTTACGACGATAATCTGTAACACCACCGAATGATAATTCAACACATTTTAACAAAGCTGATTCCGATGCATCTCCATTACATTCACGTTTTAATACTGGCTTGTTTTCTTCGCCTGCTTTAAATTCAGCACGATTGCATAACATGCCAATACGAGCTAATGCTATCCAAGTTGGTGAATTTTTATCGTAAGTGGCAACTACAATAATAATTAAGAGTGGTAGACAGTAAAAAATAAAAATTAGTAAGTATCTGATCAGTAATGAAAGATTTGTGTGAATTTTCGGATTCACAAAGTTTAAATCATGAACTAATCTCAGCTAGATCACCGTTGAAAACCTGAAAACGCTGGACGGCCATTTCGTTTTGGTATAGTGTAGGACTTCCCAAATGGTTAAGCGTTCGTACGCAAGATTGAAGGTCCCGAGTTCGGTTCCCATTTGCGTACTCGTGGAGGAGCACAACTGGGGAGTCCCATGATATGACGAAAAGGCCCTTCAGTGTTTCCAGGTTTTTAGTGGTGGCATAACAAAGAACACTTAGTGATTTTAACTAAGAAAGTATTACAAACATTTATGTAGTAAAATAAATCAGGATGTAAGGATAATGAAGAGAAAATCGAGAGAGTACGTAATTATAACCATAATAATAATATAGTTAGTTAAGGGTATGTTTATAGAGATATGTTTAACTTGTAGGATGTATTCGTCACATTTCAATTCTCAGTTTGAATAGTGTTGAGAACCAGGAAGTACTGAATTCTTATTTCAACATGGTTTTAGCCCAAGATTTTTAATGGCTGGACTCCAGCAGAGAGACCTGGAGATCCTGGGATTCTACCATTTCATAATCTGATACAAATATTGGAGATTCGAATGATCTAAAACGGCTAAATAGTGGTGATTATCTCGTTGATCTGACTACCAGAGAGCAAAATTAATGACAAAATATCACAGAAAATCTATCAGATGAGTGGTTTTAGAGCGAAATCAAAAGAATAGTTTCGAATTAAATTTCTCACAATCGTCATTGTAGGTGGCAACTAAACGTTTTTAGAAAAGTACATAAAACCTGAATTTTCATAAATGATGGAAGATGGAAGGAAAAAGTCTAACGTCCTAGGGCGAAATTATACTGCTGGTTGTACTTGGGTGTGACGGTAGTAACATATCTCCTCCGAATAACCAGCATCCGTAGCAACGCTGACTTCCTACAACGGAAGGACCAGGTTAGAAGATGTCGAGTTCAAAAACGACACACATCACCTTGCCATACTGGTTCTTGTCTCCGGGACTAAGACTTTTAAAGCATGTTTACGTATGTGACCGGCCTCAAGTAGTTCCAGTTTAAGTATGGACGTCACACTCTTAGATTTTCATGACCACTCAACACAGTTCTCTTTCAGGTACTTCAGTCAGTATCATATTTCACAATGTGGGGAACTGGGAGTTGAAAACTGCCCTGTTACGTCGAATCGCACGCGAGATCATCTTGATCTTAAGAATACTATTTCGATATTGCGTTTCCTTTGGGCTGACGTGTCCTAAAGTAGACAAAGTCCGCGTACTGTATTGCAATACTATCTACAGATTTAACCATGTAACCAAAGCAATCCGCTCAGGGTGCTAATACATCACAGTACAAACTGATCAATTACAATCCAACAATATTAACAACGTCAAAGTTTAACCTTTTTACAATACAAAATAAATGATAGATTTAATAACAAAGTCAAGCGAAATAGCCATAAAATTATAGTGCAAAAGAAAAAACATGTACTATCCTACCTGATTGGTCATCTGTAGTATCCGCATCAAATATTTTATTGTCAAACCACATATGGGCTATAGTCATACGATTTTGTGTTAATGTACCAGTTTTATCTGAACAAATGGTACTTGTTGATCCAAGTGTTTCAACAGCTTCTAAATTTTTCACTAAACAATTTTTACTAGCCATACGTTTAGCGGTTAATGTTAAACATACCTATAAAAAACAACAACAACAACAACAACGTGAGAATGAAAGTAAATGATGATAAGATAACACTGGTATTTAAAAAAAACAACAGAAGTGAATCTCTAGGTAGTCTTCACCATTGATTGATATTGGTTAGGTTGTCAATGAAAATCAGAAAACCGTGAACAGTTGTCTCGTCTTAGTATGGATATCTCAGTAGTGTATACTTACAATTACATCAGAGACTGAATACATGATATTCATATCTCCAAGTGAATGATTCACTATTGGGAAAACTACTGGATCAGTGTCCTAAGATACAATTTCAACTTAAATCAATTCTGAATATAATACAAAGATCATCTAATTTTATTGTTGACAGCTGATTTAACTTCCAAGAGGTTTGAATTTGACCAGTCACGAATTTTTACTTCTGATCATAGAACATTATTGTCATCATTAGTAGTGGTAAATCATCATATAGTCCTATTCAATGGTTTGATATGTCTGTTACACAAGTGAATTATACAGTGATAGAAACAGGAGTGCTTGTCGTAATCGGAATTAATTTGATCATAGAATGATTTAAACTGTTTGTAAAATCAAAAGATTTTCTTCTCTACACAATATGCTATGCACTAATTCAAAGTTCTGAAAGTTGATTTCTTTTTATCACGAATTGATTGACACAATACATGTTCAGTAGTAAGTAAATAGATTTCGGATTAATGTCAAAAGTTGTAGTATAAAATCGTGTCATTTACTGAATTTAGCCATGTCATCATTTATGATAGAAATAAATAATCATGCAGATATTAAATGTCAACTTAATGATCAATTGAAGTTATCCGATCATTATGGGATCTTAAAGTTCCAAGTTTGATGTAGAAAGAGAGAGAGAATCATGGATGCTCAGGGTTGGTCGTTAAACTTTGAACAAAAGAGCTCCTAAGTCATCTATGTCACCTATTTGAACGATACTTGGCGAGATATAAAACCAATTCTGAGATGATGGAGAAGATTTGTAGCTCAGGTGGATGATTTCGGTGGAGTTTTGTTCTCTATCCTGCTCAGAGAACAAAATTTCACCCAAATTAGACCAATTCTTACAAAATCTCTTGACTGATTTCATTCAGTGTAGTATCAAAAACCTAGGGGGAATGAGAGGAGATTTAGTCCTAGTATGAGACTGCTTAGAAGTGTTCATCCACGACCTTATTAAAGATAAAGCTTAGGACATAAAGTGTTGAATTTGATACACAGAGAGCCAGATTTTGATTGAAAGGTCTCGTACTTGGAACAAAACGCTACCCGGAGTACTTATTGGTGTTTTCCAATGATTTTAAATGAGATGAAAACCCCCTCTATGTATTAAAGAAAATCTCACCTGGAAGAAATATACTTTATGAACAAATTGACTAAGGACTGACTGATAATTTATCGTAGTTGCTTTAACCGCATCATTATACAGAGATAATAAAAACAGAATTGACGAATGTAATAAATAAACTTCAACATGTTAATCATCTATCACGTACGAGTTATATATACATTCGGATATCTGATTATTTCTTTCTTTCTGATTTACAGTAAAATAAATCTCAAGAGTTAAAGATGCTTGTTTAAGAATACCCAATGCCAGACTATGTGTTGGTTAACACATTTGTCAGAAAAGCGTATTTGAGATCATGGACAAATTGAACTGTTTTCAATTGAGATCCTGATAGACTAGACAGATCTAGACATATTATGTGGCTTTTTGATAGCTGAACAACTCATGTGCTGTTTAAAGTTCAAATGAATAGGTGGAAAATTATTTTTTTTAAAAAGGTACGCTATAGAAGAAAGTCGATTATACGCCTAATCAAGACCAAAGTCTACATGCCATTATCTGGGTCAAAAGGACAAATGTATAAGTACTAGTGATTTGTGCGTACATGATTATTCGTTTAATCAATTAATGATTCCTAGTCATTTCCACAATTTTTTTCATTTGCACCGCTAGTTGGGTGAGGGTAGTTGGAAGTGTGAAGATCTGGATTGGATATCGTGGATCATAACAGATTAGAAATCTGGGAATCTATCACTCTTCCATTCCAACAGCAACTGACAACCTGTAGCATATAAACTTTTGTACTTACAGGTTATTTAGACAAACGAGACTTATGTGGAAAATATTCTGATGACAGTAGTGGTTGGAATTAACCGGCAAGGAAGACATAGACTTAAATCACATACATCAGTAACATGGAAACTTGATCGATAGGCTCATACCAGCACCCAGGAGTATATAAGCATAATACAAATTACTACTTAGTAATCAATAAGTGTACATTACATTAATTTGTAGAAACTCATTGAAAGAAATAAAAGTAGGAAGAGTGATCTCGTTTGAAATTTCTTTTAGGATCCAATCTGCGAAATAGATTATACAAAGATAAACGTTCACATTGAAAGTAGACTTTCAATTAAGATAAACCAGTTGGTAATATTATGAATAAACAGAATTAGATGTAGGTGTCATTACCAAGGTTTGATTTCATAATTTCGAATAAATTGAGCATTGGGTTGATTGTTATAAATAAATTAGATGGCTGAAACGCGACAGCGAATTGTCAAAGTCTAGTTTACTGATAACTAAATGGAGACTTTAGGAACTCAATTACGAGCTTCAGTTTTTGGTATGACAGTGTAGTGATATTAACACTGACTGGAAAAACAAGTTACATTTGGACTGAATAGGGCTTGAGCAAGATGTTAAATCATTGAAAACAGAATATACTGACCATTCAACCAAAAACAATCGATCATACATAGCGCGATTTATGACCGACTAAATCCCATTAAAACTGATTGATTACTGAATAGTAAGCAAGTCGGTATTGATAAAATCTTAGACTGTGAAGTTCGGTAACACGAGATCGAATCCGTCAGAGAGGATCACTCCCTACAAGATTACAGTTAAACCTCGCTGATGAGTGCCAAATAGCCTCAAACGAAAAACAAGCAGGATGTTTTGTAGACTACCTCTAACCACTACCTTACAGCTACATTCTATTAGTAGTGTCAAGGGATTCAACCTCCAATATTTATATTACAGAACTGTCGTAAATATTTACAAACCAATCATCTCAAACAGTAGAATAAAAATGTGGAACAGTATTTATTCCAGTCAACAGATAACAATTCCAGTTATTTATTGTCTAGTACGGGGGATTTGTGGAGATTGTAGTACTCTCATAGTGGCGAGACTATAATTTATAGACGAACCGATCAGATCTAGAATAAGAAGTCTTAGATTTTGGCGCAAAGTTCATTCATGCATGTGGCTAAATAGAGCCTTGGTATGATAGCTGATTTCAGTTCATGATGAAAACCCTAAATCTAATTCCTAATCCTAATCATCAATTGTAAATCATAATCCTTATTGTTCGAACTGCTTTATAACCCTCATTTAGCCCTAGTAAGTAAGTAGACACTCTCAAGGTCACCTTAGCTTCGCTCAAAACTCGTCCATAAACTATAGTCTCACCCTTATAATTGAAATTACGAGCCACTGAAAACCTGGAATTACTATGACGAGATGGCTGTCCAGTACTTTCAGGTTTTCAATAATGGTCTAGCTTAGATAGTCTCAGGATTTCAATTGTGAAAGTGTTTTTATTACATATTTCCTTTGAATAATAACTATCCTATCACTGTCTCACTATATTTACATATATTTATACTTTAACTACTTGTGTTGAAATAATCAAGAAATGTACTAACTCAGAAGGATGTTGTTAATGGTGTCATGTTCTTTGAATTGTTGAAATCTCAATACGTTTGTAGATAACTTGAACGCCAGTTCAAGTTTAAGCGGAAGAGGACCATTGGAATATAAGACATGATACATATAGAATCATTCATGACAAATCATTAACGGATAAAAGAAACAGTATAACGGAAAACTTGGTAAATATGTGATTATGGAAACTGTTCTGTTATTGAGATGGTGGAGAAGATTTGTAGCTCAGGTGGATGATTTTGGTGGAGTTTTGTTCTCTGAGCTGGATGGTTTGGTCGTCGAGCTTTCATCGTTCTTCTGAAGTTTGTGCTGATGATGTCGTTCAGAAGAACGATGAAAGCTCCACGACCAAACCATCCAGCTCAGAGGACAAAACTCCACCAAAATGTTCTGTTATTGTTTTTTTTGTCTTTATAATCATATACACATGTGAATAATTTTAATTATAGAAACGAAAGAAGTTAGGATCAACCAATGTAAACAATAGTCACTGTGCGAAAATAATAAAAAATCGTTCAAGAGGGTTTCACTCAATGAAAGAAAATCTCACCATATATTATAATATGGAATAAGTTTTTCGATTATTATGAGTGGGATAGGGGAAAACACTTAAACAAACTACTATCCAACATACATTGTAATGTAATCAAATAATCAAAATAGAAGAATACGACTATATTATTCCAGGGGAAAAAAAATCTATAGACCGGTAATATTTAGTTTCCATATTTTCTTACTAAGTGTATGAAAGTGGTATAATATGATATTAGAATTGCTTGTGAGGGCTGAAACTATCGAACTACAATCCCAATAGGAATTATCAATGTGAATTGTTATGTGGCTCCTTTCATAAGTTGAAAAAAACTGTTCAGTGGATCGATATTACTTACGCCTATTACCCCTTTGGCAGGAGCGTAGGCCATCCGCCAGCATTCTCTATCCAACACTGTCCTGGAAAATCCTTTCTATTTGTTTCTAGTTGGTATTCATCCTTTTCATATCTACAATGTGTTCCCTGGCCTTCCTCTTTTTCGTTTCCATTCAAGATTCCAAGTTAGAGCTTGCTTGGTGATTTCCCCAATGTATGTTTTTTCTACCTACAGCATCTTTTCCTAAATCCTTGTTCAATTAGAAGCTGATTTGTTTTCTCCTTCAGTAGGTTATTGCTGATGGTATCCGGTCTACGGACACTGAGTATCTTGTGTAGACAATCGTATATAAATACTTGTACTTTTTCGAC